AAAAAACTAAAAATGTAAAAAGCTAACCCAATCAAATGTAAGAAATCGAGAAGCATTATTTTTAGCTCTTACTTTAAATTTTTAACTTTCTAAACATAAATTTTAAATAAAAACTTAATAACTTACTTAAATATTAATTTTTTTTTCATACATAAATTTTTTATTAAATATTTTTAGTCGATAAAAAAATTTAATTGTTATTTATATAATATTTAAAAATTTTAAATTCACTAAAAAATTATCTAAGTCAATATATTCTTGACCTCGCTTAGTCTCCCCACTCTCCTGCTCCGACCATCATTCCCTCTCCCACATCTGCCGTCGGCTTATGTTTTCCGGCTCCACCTTCTGCCGCCCACCGCCACCCATATTTTGGAGGTAGTCTTTATTTCTTTATGGCATTATCTCACCATAGAAATCACATATACTCATTTCATCTTCAACCTCCCATTCTCTATGCTACTGGAGTGTGTCGCGTCACCGACGTTGACACATTAAAGAAAGGTATCGCCTTTTCCCCTTCTTCCTTTCAAGCACTTTTGTTGTATTTCTCAAAATTCTTGGGTTGATTATGAACTATTACGTACGCCTAGGTCTGTTATTTTTAATTTGAGAGGGTTTTGTAGTTTTCTTGGTTTAATGATAATAAACATCCAGCCTTTGGTTATTCTTCCTTATTGGTTTTCGTTAATGTTGATTAAATCACAACTTCTACTGGTTTTTTGGTTTTCTGCTGTGCTTTTGACCCTACTTCCAATATGTATGCAGCAATTTTTTCCTGGGTTTCATAATTCATTATTCTTGGGTTTCTTTGGTTCTTTGCTGTGTCTTTGACCCTACCATCCTAGATATTTTTTGTGAGAAAGAAAAAATTGGTAGGGAACAGGCACTGAAATTGTTACTATCATGATCAGTGCTCATTCTCCTATTCATTTAGTGGAACCTTCAATGGATTGTTAGCATGAGGCATTGGTTAGAAGTTTTTGCTCATGTACTTAAAATTCTGACTGAATTTCTTTATGAGACCAGAAAATTTTTAGTCTCAAGAGTTGTAGGAGCCACATAGATATAGATGGATGGGTTTGTAGAGCATGGATGTACACGTAGCTATATGCTTTCTGGTTTCAGCTAGTTTGTGTGCCTCAGTTATTGATAAGCTAAGGAATGGTTAATTAAACACTTTGTATCTTGACTAGAATGCTTGTGTAACTGCTAACTGGCTCTAAGCCACTGACTGAAAGATGGAATTACTTGAAAATGGCAAAGTTGGTGCCCACTAGTATAAGTTATATTTAGTACAACTTCTACAGTAATGAGAGCACTGTTGTACTTGTTTGCCTTTAACTAGTTAGGGGAGACAGACAGTGGCTTTTATGAGACTCTTACCTTGATGATTGTTTTAAATTAGTATGCTCTCATTTTCTTTGCTTGCATGTGTTTTTCATGTGAGACCTGACTTTGGACAATGTTAACTACTAACTTTGCCTTTATTGTTGGTCATTCTTTTACCTATGTGATTTTAGGCAATTTTATGTACAAAAGCTCTGTTATTATTGGAAAACTATACAGACCATTCACATCAGGATATTTTTACGTTCTGGAATGCAGGATTGTCTCTTAACAGGACAAGTTGGACTTCATGATCTTTAATCATCGTGCCAAAGTCTTGCTTTCTGAAATTGATATGAAGATGAAGCATTGAAATTAAAGAATCTTTGTAGGCCTAATTTATCCATTCATATGTGGCGAGTGGAACCCCTGGAAGCAGTATGTGGGATTTATTTAATACTTGTTATGTGAATTGGAAAAGTTTTGCATGTGCTGGTTACAAGGTTTTGGAGAAGCACTCTGATGCATGGACAGGGCCTAAACTACTTAAGCTTAGGTGTGATTTTGCTAAGCACATCAGGATAAATGTTGGGAATGGGCGACAGACCTCATTGTTCTATGAGTTTTTGTTAGAAGATGTTAGGCTGTGTGATAAATTCGTCAAGCTATGATATAGATTTGGGGTGCTAAGTTGTTGTGTGTTGCAGATTGGTGGCGCAATTGCAGATTGCTAGCTGTTACCGTGACCCAAATTATATGCCAGAAGTGCTTGGAGAAGAGAACAAAAATGGCATAATTTGTCAAGACAATTTTGCTTGTATGATGAGGATCGTTGCATGAGTTCCACTTTGAGATTCCGTAGCTTTGCCCTTTATGGAAAGTCACTTAAGATGTTTATTTGGCATAATCTTTAATTTGATTATCTTTTTAATGCGATTAACATGTAACATGTTTTATTTTTTAATATTAAAGATACAAGTATTTATCTATTAAAATGATTAATTAAGGTGGCTTTGTTAAGTATGGCTGTACTTATGAGTTTTTCATGTTTTTTTGCAACATGGTACTATGATTTTTAAAAGAACAAAAATATTTTAAATGCTATTAAACAAGTAAATAATTCTACTTGCTAATATTAATTTAATTTTTGATTTGTAGTTTTAGTTTGCAGTAGTTGTAAAATATATAAAATTCAAAACATTCAAAATTAAAATCAAATAAAAAAAATTTTAAACTACAACCATATTAAATGAAACTTTAATAATTATGTTTTATGAATATAAAAAATATATTTATAAAAATTCAAAAATAATTAAATTCATAAGAAATTAAAGTTCTCTAAATATTAAAAAAAATAATTGTGATGTTGCCTCTTTAAAGAAAAAAAATACTATTTTCAGTCATTTTAACATCACAATTGACTTAAAAGTGCTTGTATAAAAAATTTAATCAAAAACACATTCAACTTCTCATAAACATATTTTTTAGGATAGATTTTCACACACAAAACCTCTAAATTAGATTCTCATAAATAAAATTTTATCTAAAAATCCAGCCACACCGAGCAAACACATAATAGTTCGTAGCACATACACATTATTCTGTTGGCCGCGCACCTAAATTAAACTATGAACTTAGCTACGGAGATGAATTCTCTGCAATGAACTTCTCACATACAGCACCAATCTGCACTTTCAGTGCCCTCTTTTCGTGCTTCACCTTCTGAAGCTCGTGCTTCAACTTGGCATTCTCTTCTATAAGTTGCAAGCTCAGATTGTCCATACCCATTCCCTGCCTCAACAAATCAATTTCATTTTTCAGCTTCTGAATTTCTCCATCTCTGAGACTGAGATCAGAACCAGCCTACAAGAAACAATCAATAACACGGGTCAATACATCAATGCGCAGTTAATTAGTAGTGATCGACCAACGGTCGAGTTATTGTTATATTTTAAATAATTAATATATATTTTTTAGTATAATTATCTATTATACTTTTATATTATATTTTTTTTAAATTTTATATTTTTTTCTTAATAAATTAAAAAATATAATAATTAATTAAAATAAAAAAAATATAACATTAATAATTAAAGATGTAACAATAACAACATCACTCATACCCCAACTGCTAATAAAGTTACATCATCTAAATCTTTGATTGAGCTTTTCACGTCACCAAATATTTAGACAAAATAAATAAAGTGAATCATTTTTTACGGTTTAGACCATACCAAAATATAAAATATAAATTGTTGAATAGGAAATGGCCTTCGATATGAAAGATCTCACTCCTCATCTAAGGATTTTAGTTGTACAATCTTGTATAGTATAAATTGTACAACAGTTTTCTTACTAGTAGACTAAGCGTCTGATTGGTGTAACAGTTAATAATTTTATCCAAATCATTAATAATAGACATTTGGTAAATTTATTTATTTTTAAATTACTATAAACTAAGTGTTTAATAAAACTTTCTATTTAGTAATTGAGACTAGCAGATAGTAGTTAAAATCTAAACCATTTATAGATTGAAAAATTTATCTAAAGTAACGTTTTATATTAAATCGTTAGCAAATTGAAATTTTTTAATTTTATTGACAAATTTATCGTTTTTAATTTTTATATTTTTTTATCATAGTTTTTAATTAATACTTATCTAATTAGTTTCAACTTTATTTTTTATCTTTAATAATATTAAGTAATTGTTATATTTTTATTTTTACATTAATTTACCATAAAAAATATATTAGTTTAATAAACAAAATTTACTAATTAGACAAAAAATTAAACTTTTTTGGTTAAATCCTTATTTTGGTCCCTGAACTATTGTACGGACCCCCAATTTGGTCCCTGAACTAAAGAAATCCTTGATTTGGTCCTTAAACTATTGTACGGACCCCGATTTGGTCCCAATTGTTTATAATTTAGCATAAGTTGGTCCTTGAACTATTATACGGATCCCCAACTTGGTCCTTCAGCTATTATTTAATAGAATGACCAAGTTGGGGTTAAATTGGTAAACAGTAGGGATCAAATTGGGCATCCGTACAATAGTTTAGGGACTAACTTGGGAGTCCATATAATAGTTTAGGGACCAACTCAGGAGTCCGTACAATAGTTTAAGGACCAAATTAGGGATTTCTTTAGTTCAGGGACCAAATCGAGGGTCCATACAATAGTTCAGGGACCAAAATAGGGGTTTAACCAGCTTTTTTTTGTACTTGTTTGCCTTTTACTAGTTAGGGAAGACAGACAGCGGCTTTTATGAGACTCTTGACTTGATTATTGCTTTAAATTCGTATGCTCTCATTTTCTTTGCTTGCATGTGTTTTTCATTTGAGACCTGAATTTGGACAATGTTAACAACTAACTTTGCCTTTATTGTTGGGCATTCTTTTACTAATGTGATTTTAGGCAAATTTAGGTATAAAAGCTCTGTTATTATTGGAAAACTATGCAAGACCATTCACATCAGGATATTTTACGTTCTGGAATGCAGGATTGTCTCTTTACTGGACAACTTGGACTTCATTTCTTAATCATCGTGCCGAAGTCTTGCTTTCTGAAATTGATATGAAGCTGAAGCATTGAAATTAAAGAATCTTTGTAGGCCTAATTTATCCATTGATATGTGGCGAGTGGAAACCCTGGAAGCAGTATGTGTGATTATTTAATGCTTGCTATGTGAACTGAAAAAGTTTTGCATGTGCTGGTTACAAGGTTTTGGAGAAGCACTCTCATGCATGGGCAGGGCATAAACTACTTAAGCTTAGGTGTGATTTTGTTAAGCATATCAGGATAAATGTTGGGAATAGGAGACAGACCTCATTGTTCTATGAATTTTTGTTAGAAGATGTTAAGCTGTGTGATAAATTCCTCAAGCTATGATATAGATTTGGGGTGCTAAGTTGTGTGTTGCAGATCGGTGGCACAATGGCAGATTGATAGCCGTGACTGTAACCCAAATCATATGCCTGAAGTGCTTGGAGAAGAGAACAGAAATGGCATAATTTGTCAAGACAAGTTTGCTTATACAATGAAGGATCATTGCATGACTTCCACTTTGAAATTCCATAGCTTTGCCCTTAATAGAGAGTCATTCAAGTCAGTTTATTTGGCATAATCTTTAATTTGATTATCTTTTTAATGTGACTAACATATGATATGTTTCATTTTTTTAGTGTTAAAGATATAATTATTTATTTATTAAAATGGTTAATTAGTTTGGCTCCGTTAAATATGATTGTGTTTATGAGTTTCACGTGTCTTTGTAACATAGTACTATGATTATTAGAGAAAAAAAGAATAAAAATAATTTTAATACTATTAAACAAGAATATATATTTTTTCTCGCTAGTGTTAATTTAATTTTTGATTTGTAGTTTTAGTCTTCAATAGTTATCGAATTTATAAAAAAAAAAAAAAATCAAACTTAAAATAAAAAAATTTAGAACTACAATATACCATACTATATGAAACTTTGATATTTATGTTTTATGAATATGAAAAATCTATTTACAAAAATTAAAAAATGATTAAATTCACAAGAATTAAAATTCTATAAGTATGAAAAATAAATAATTGTGATGCTGCTTCATTAAAAAAAAAAATTTAGTCATTTTAACATCACAATTAAATTAAAAGATCGATTATAAAAAATTTTTACTGAATAGCTTTAGACCTTAAAAGTGCTTGTACAAAAAATTTAATCAAACATATTCAACTTCTCATAAACAAAATTCTTCAAGACAGATTCTTACAAACAAAACCTCTAGATCAGATTCTCATAAACAAAATTTCATTTAAAAATACAGCTATCAAACAAACATATGAGAGTTCATAACCCTTAAACAATCGCACCCACAACTTTAACTGCATTGGTTCAAGTGCATTAAACTCTTAACAAATGCTAGAATTCTAACCGCTACACTAGCAGCCTCCCCATCTCCATTTCCTCCAATTGCCCTTGTTAAAAAAGAAAAAAAAGAACCCTTAAACAATCCACACCTTATGGTACTATTACCTTTCCCAAGCAAAAAAACATTACAGAATTATTAGCATAGCACGACCCCTTCAAACACGTATAAGCATTATTCTGTTGGCTGTCTTCCTAAATTAAACCATGAACTTGGCTACGGAGATGGATTCTCCGCAATGATCTTCCCACATAGAGCATCACACTGCACCTCCAGTGCCCTCTTTTCGTGCTTCACCTTCTCAAGTTCGTGCTTCAGCTTGGCAATCTCTTTCATAAGTTCCAAGCACGGACTGTCCATACCCATTCCCTGCCTCAACAAATCAATTTCATTTTTCAGCTTCTGAACTTCTTCACCTCTGGGATTGGGATCAGAAACAGCCTACAAGAAACAATCAATAACACGGGTAAATACATCAATGCGAAGTTAATTAGTAGTGATACACCAACAGCTAACAAAGTCGCAGCATCTAAATCTTTAACCGAGCTTTTCCACCTCACCAAAGTATTTAGATAAAATAAATAAAGTGAAACACTTTTTGCAGTTTGGACAGTACCGAACCATAAAACATAAATTGTTGAATAAGAAATGGCCCTCAATATGAAAGATCCTGCCCTTCCCCCAAGGGTTTTAGTTGTGTAATCTTGTACAGTCCAAATTGTACAACAGTTTTCTTATAAATAGACTAAGAGTCAAATGGGGACCTTTTTTTTTTTTTTTTTTTTATGAGTTGAAATTTCAATTCCATACAAAACTCACATCATATCAATCAAGTAAATATATATCACTATACAATTGTGTACCAAAAAATAGATATATATTACAATACAATCATATCAAAAATCTAACAAAATTAATTACATAAATTGGATAACAATATGCTTTGAACAGGACTCTAACCACGAATCTAAAATTAAATACCAAGTCCACTTTCTTAACCACTAGATTATGTCTTTATTGGTTAGTAAATCTCTTTCTTATCGTATGCATGTCTAATGACTTCTCTCTTTTTCAAATAGACAACAAGGTTTATTCTTGTATCTCTCCTTAGCAAGTGCTGGCCTCACTCAGACCACCATTAATAAACACCCCAAGGTAAAAACCATTTCTCCCCACAAAAAGTTCGCTACCTGAACAGAGGTAGACATATCCAGAGATCCTCATCCAAAATTGAACTCGATTCATCCGTGAAAATTTGAGATGTGAGTTGAAATATACTGTGAATATTTAACTTAAAATTGATAGTCAATAAATGGAGTAATCATTCTTAAATATTATGAAACACATTTTCACTTAGCAACTTAATACGTCTTCCTCACATGCTCGATATGAACTTTTAGACATATCACCATAAATAGAGTCTATATGAGTGCATACCATGATAAATGATTGCCAAATTTTGTTTTAAAAACTTGACAAAAACAGTTCTTTAGACAAAATATTTAATTGTATGATTTGTTATTTATTTCAAATATAAATTTGACTTGTTCTAAATATCTTTTCCTTAAAAACCCTTTTTCTGGTAATAGTATCAACCAAACTAAATCAAACGGACTTTAAATTAAAAAGTGGCTCAACCTATTCTAAATTAAGCATGTGCATTGCCACATAAACATAAACACACAAATAATTCAAATGGATACTTACCAGCTTCTCTGAGAGTATCTTCACGAGTACATATTGTTTCTTATGCTCAGGCATCAATCGGTTGAGGTCATGTGTAAGTTTATCGATCACCTCTCTCTGACATTGAGAATCTTGGTTCAGACGTGAGTTCTCAGCTTTTAAGGCTCCAACTTCAACCTTTAATGCCTTGTTCTCTTGAGTAAGTGCCTTCATGTTACCCTCCATTTCTGTCTTGTGTTTCTGCAGAACGTGGAATAAAAACAAGCCTAAGCTTCCTGTGATTATAAACTAAACAAAATAAATAAAGCAATACAACATATTAATTTCTTCACCTTCACCCGATCCCGATAAGCTTTTGATCTTTTAGCAGCTTCAGATTGGCTTGTATCTGCAAATGTTAATGGTGTCATTCGATCCAAATGATTATATAAATGTTTGAGTCATTTTAAATGGCATTGATTGAATAATGTAGCCTTACCTTGATTTGGCATTGAAGTATTTGCTACCAGTGTAGCTTGTGGAGCAGGAGCCTCTAGTTGTGCCATTATTGCATTTGAATCCACGTTGTTTTGTGCAAAGGATTCTAAATGTTGCTCAATATCATCAACTGCAGGCATAAAGGTACTAAAATAATTATTTAAAATAATTAATAATAATAATAAATTATTAAAAAATTATCTATTTTAAAAAT